AATCCTTAATTTCACATTTTCGTGTACCACCACAGACATTAAGTTTACCGTGTGTATGTTGTTCTGTATAACTGTTTCGTCAAAAATAGTAGCATTCTCTATTGATAAACGACGTTTGGTATTTGATGAATCATTTACAAACACCAAAACACCGGCACGCAAGTGTAAGCTTGATGAGAATACTGGTGACATTTTCAAGACAAGCGGGATGCCGAACTCTCCTGTATAATTCCTGATGATGATTCTTTCACATTCATGATTTACCACAATGCATGAATGAAAGGCTACTCGGAGCCGATACAACAGCACTCTTTTTATGGAGTTTGCCAATTGCAAAATTTCATTGTTGATGTTACATGATGACACTTCAATTTCATACACAGGATATGATAGATAGTGACTTGGAAAATTTCGGTGATAATTGCACAATCTTAATTTCCTAAAATCATTTTGTGGAGAGACAATTGCACCTCGGCAGTTGTCCAAACATAGATTTTTGCATCCGTTAAGAAACTCTAATCCGATATCATCACATAATTGCAAGTTCTGTAGCAGGGCTGTTCGTATTTTATGTGAAATCAATATCATTTCGTTAAAATTATTTTCAACTATTTTACAATCGTAAACATTATCCTTGACTTTGTAAAACTGCACAATACCTTTGGCATTGGATAGATATAGCTGTCCTGTTCTAGCGATTTGGATTCCAGGAATGATAAACCGGCCCTTGCAATATTTGATTGACAAACTATTGTATCCAGCGTTGATTTCGAAAATATGTTCATTCTCAATTTGTGTATAGATCAAAAATACTTTTTGAATGACATTCATACCAAACGATATTGTTTTGTTGATCTTAGCATATTTTAGGATAATTTCACTTTGTTCATTGTTGTTAATACATTGGAAAAACAACCAGTCGTAATAATTAGATAATCGAGACATCACTTTGACATAGCAGAGGAAAGGTAGATCTAGAGGAGAGCTGATAATATATGTTTCCTTCACATTTAAATCGCTATCAGTTCCACAATACAAGTCACTATTTAAGATGTTATGTTCAGAATTACTACCATTTTCTCTAAAATCATCATACACATCAAATTGAACGTTTTGAATGTATATTTTACGTATACTTCTCCTTGTGTCACTAACGAACA